AACCGGACCTGGGGGCGCTCTGTCGCTCGGGGTCCCGGGGGTCGCAGGCGTCCCTCATGCGGGACTCCCTCCCTGCCGGACCCCCACCAGGTTCCCAGGGGCTCCCCTCCGCGAGGGTCGCTTCCTCTAGTACCTCCCGTCCCGTCCTCCCCCCAGGCCTTCCTCTCACTGCGACACCCCTGTCTCCTTCCTACAGCGAGGGGGACCCCCTTCCCGAACTGCGGCCGGGTGGGGGCCTCGCTGCTCTCCCGGCTCCCGAGCCCCGAAAGCAGCCTCCTACGCCCTGGTCTTGCTCCTCCCAGGCACCTTTCCAATGCGCCCACTGCCGGAGTGCCGGCTGCCCCCTGGGGCACCTCTGTTGTTAGTGCAGCACCCTCGCCGTCCCTCCCTCCGTCTCACACTCAGGACCCACCTCCGGGGTTCCGAGACTTCCCTCTCCGCTCTCTACCGGGACTTCTCCTCTCTTCCCCCTTTTCAAGTTAAGTGCTGGGCAGAAGAGGGAGTCCTTTCTTGTGACACGTGGGATAACGTGTGTGGAGAGCTGGGCCTTTGGCGTATGCTTTATTGTAAAGACCGAGTGAGTGAATTCATTAGCGTGCACCAAACGGCCGCAGGCGCATAGGCAATGCCAAGTTACCATCACGATCCTCGTTGTCACTTGCACTTTAAACTTCTGTGGGGTAGGTATTATTGCACATTACAGATGAGGACTGTAACTTCGGAGTGGAGTGCAAACCCCCACGGTGTGGAGTTGGGTTCCTGGGCCCTTGCTCACTCCATGACACTTGTCCTCAGAGCCCCCTCCTGCTGGGGACTGGGAGGGGGAGGTGGGACACAGACCCTGCTTCAGAGGGGCTCCCAGTCTGGTGAGGCTGCCCCCCTTATTGGACCTGTGTTTCGGGGGTCTGCCTTTCAGAGCTGGGCAGCCGCCACCCCCTACCCCCCCTCCATTTGAGTGTTGTTTGCCTGATCCCCAGGACTGTGACCAGCTCTGTCTCCTGCTGAGCTAGGCTCTTTCTGAGTTAATCAGTGTCCTAAGGGATGGCACAGGGGTGCCCTGGGCAGGGGTGAGTTTCAACACTGCTGTGTGTCCTCCGTGGGTGGGGATAGGGTAGGGAAGGGCACAAGATGAGGACGTGGACTTGGGAGAGAAGGGCTCCCCTCGCAAGCCAAGGTTGGGGCTGTACTTGCCACCCCCTGTCCTGCATTCGGAGACCGTCCCTCTCAGACTGCAGATGGAAGTCCCATAGAGTTACAGTGTGACCTCGTTTCTTGAACGTAATTTGTTCCAGAAGGCTGTTCGAAAGCCATTTGTTCGCAAACGAATACTTTTTTCCCATTAGAAATAATGTAAATTGAATTAATCTGTTCCAGAGTCCCAAATAATTTCCTGTTTCAACCTTTCTTATATACAGTACATGTCTAATGTACTCTTTCATTTATAAGTAAACACTTCTTTACTTAAATTTATCAAACCACCCCCTACTAGCCTCCAAAATCCTGTCACCAGCTAACTGCTTTTACTTTATCCAATCAACAACAGTTTTTCTACCTATTCAGTAGTCTGTGATTGCTGTTTTGTGAGCACTTTCACACCCTTAGCAACATTAGAACTCGTGATGGCCTCTTTATGTTTTAAAATTGTGCCAACCGCCAGCAACAAAAGCATTCTCTCCTTTGCTTGTTGCCTGCAAGATGCATTTTGTCATGCTGAGCTTTCAGCACGAAAGGGTTGTCAGATGGAAAACTGAAGTTTTGGTCGACAACCGAGACATTGTTTTCTGTGAACAACTTGGTCAAGAACCGAATTGTTTGAGGTGGGAGACATTTGAGAAACGAGGTTTGACTGTACTTGTTTGCAGTACCTACCATGTGCAGGTGCTGTGCTAAACACTGGAGCGAGGGGTGCCCAGGGAATTTACATGTGGATGGGGCCTTCGAAGAGTTTTCATTTTAACGGTGGAGGAAGACTTAGACGTAAAAAAAAAAAAACAAAAAAAACACCCCAAAAACCACCCTCAGATATCTGGTAGAAAGCAATCCATGTTCTCTCTTTTAAAAAGCCTATTATAACAATAATGTTTATCAGGCAGTCAAATACCACCGGCCTGGCACAGTGCAGATAAGCACTGCATTACCCCATTTTACAGATGCCAAGGGGCACACACAGCGCGAGATCAAACCACTGAGCTTGGTAATTTCAGTAACTGGTTCTGTTGTCAGTGGCTTGCCTTTCTATAGAAAGCATGTCAAACTCGCAGCTGGTGGGCCGCATGCCTAAATAAACGAGGCATGTGGCCCTCCCACCCAGTGACATGCTTTTCTACATGTGATTTTTATTTTTTCTTTAGAGAGAATGGAAGGGAGGGGGCCAGGAGAGAGAGAGAGAGGGGAACATTGATGGGTTGCCTCCCGGTGTGCCCCAGGGCTGGGGAAGGAACCTGCAACCCTTCAATATGGGCCTAAGCTCTACCACTGAGCCACACTGACCAGGGCTCTGCAGCATTTTTAACGGGCAGGCCTCTATTCAGAGGTGCACTAAGCCACACCCCAGCCACGTGCATTTGTTTACTCGAGGTGACTGGTGAATGCACGTATTTGCTAGGCCTATTCAGTATAAATTTAAAATTATAATACATATAGAAAACTTTTCTGTGAAAAATTTTAATTATACAAACGTGTCTACATAAGTAAAAATAGGCAAACTGCATAATTTATCAATTTTTTAACATACACATTCATTGAACCTACTTTATCATGTAATGGACTTTCGGCTTTAACAGATACCACCTCACCCAAATTAATCTGTTTTATCGAGGTTTTACTGTTAATAATACATTTGTAGGGTGGATTCAATGCGATAATCACTTAGCATGGTGCCAGGCATGGTGTAAGTGCTTAATAAATGCTCCTTGATGTTTCCGGGGCAATAAAGTGCAAACATCATCCTGCGCCAGATGCCCCTCCCTACTGGACCTGCTCTGAGCCCCACACTGTACTTCCGCTGCTGGCCGCTTATCTCTGTGATAAGGAGGATTAACCTAATCAGGCCCCAGATAACAGCTGCCAAAGCCCGGGTGCTGAAGGAAGCTAGAGTAATCTCCTTTCTACTCTTCTTCTTGGCCGTGGCCACCTGGGCCTCAGCCACGGGGGAGCCAAAGGGACCTGCACCCAGTCCCAGGTGTTAGCAGGTGCGCACTGGCCTGGGAGTCCAGTCCTGAGGGCCTGGTGTCCGCTCTGATACTGCTTTCGCGTTAATTGTTTTCAAAGATATTTCTCAGGTGCTAGCCCCCGTCTGGGCAGGGTGTCCACTGGTGAATGGAATGGACACAGGCCGGCCCAGCGGAGCTTATGGCCTGGTGGGAGTGCCGTATGAGGGTTGTCATAGGTGCTGTGAGGAAAGTGCGGGGCTCATGAGGATCCGAGAGGGGCCCGTCCAGTGGTTCGAGGCCAACCACATGGAGAGTGCCTCATGCAGAAGGGACCGCAAAAATGACCAGGGCGACTGGATCACAGCAAACAAGCTGGGAGGTGGTGGGGGCGAAGGCAAATGGGTCTGGAGGCATCGGTAGGGATTCTGGCTTTTTGTTGCAGAAGAAATGAGAGGCCATGAGTAGTTTTGAGCCAAGTGCTTACTGTCTGATGATCAAATTTTCATGTTAAAACTGTAACTTTGACGGCGATTTGGAGAGTAGCCTGGTGACAGTGGAGCTGGAGTGGCCATTGCAGTCGTCCAGGCAAAAGCTGGTGGTGCCGTGGACCAGGGTGCAGGCCGAGGGAAACCTGGGAGGGAACTGAGCTTCCCCGCCAGCCCCACCCTGCCTCCCTTCCCCTCAGTTTTAAGGTTGCACTGGCTGTCCAGCCCTGATGTTGCCCATTGCAGGGGATGTTCTGATGTGGCTCTTAAAGCTCAGATTCTGGGAGGGGTAGCTAAGGTCTCACACCCAAGCCAGGAGGTCCCCAGGTGAGCAGAAGGGGCACTTCAGGTTGTTAAGGAATCGGAATCAAATTCAGACTCTGCCCTCTGCCTCCTTCCTGAAGCCAGAAGGCTGAGAACTGCCCTAAGGATGGTCGGGTTCCGTTCATCCCAGACGCAGGCACCTGCTTGGTGGGTACTCAGGAAATGTGTGCTGAAAAATGTCCAAGCCTTTTCAACCTCACCTGAGTTACCACTGAGCTCTTGAAGTGTAGAGTAATGTGTGCTGGCTGCATGAATGCATGAATGAATGAATGAACGAACGAACGATGCAGGCCTGCCTAGAAGGGCCTTGCAGATCCTCATAGGAGCCCTAAGTTTGTGAGTGATTCCTCTATGCCAGCGGCTCTCAACCTGTGGGTCGCAACCCCTTTGGGGGTCGAACGACCTTTTCACAGGGGTCGCCTAAGACCATCGGAAAACACATATATAATTACATATTGTTTTTGTGATCAATCACTATGCTTTAATTATGTTCAATATGTAACAATGAAATTGGGGGTCACCACAACATGAGGAACTGTATTAAAGGGTCTCGGCATTAGGAAAGTTGAGAACCACTGCTCTATGCCTTGCCCTGAGCCAATGGAAGGGTGTTTCTTTGGAGTCCATGGATTTTTTTTCTTGGCTCTGTCCGACTCAGGATGATCTTTGATTCTAGTCTCTGTCCCCGAGGCCACACTCAGACTGACGGACAGCTGTACCAGGGCCTGGACTTTCTAGGTTTAGAGAGAGCCCTTGGCGCGTGTGATCCTGAGGTCACAGTGGACCTCTGCCCTGGGGGAAGTGGAGTGAGGCCTGCAGGATTTCTGTTTCTGACCCTGCCTGGGAGGGGACAGGGAAAGGAGAGCTGGCAGTGCGACATTTTCAGCTCTGCCCTGGGTGGAAGGGGTGCTGTTTATTCCAGCCGTATTTGGTGAGCACCTGGGCCAGCCCCTGATCCTTGGGGTGTCTGGGAACCAATTTGCCTTTGAAAGCCTGGCATGGCAGAGTAAACATCCCAGAAGATCTTTACAGTTCCTTTAGAAGCTCCTTAGAGCAGGAGGAAGGGCAAGCAGTTTTAGTTCTCACGGGGACCTAGTGTTACAGAATAGTAAAAGCTAGGAAAATTCCACAAGTGGGGTGGGGAAGCTGAGACAGAGAGTTAAACAGCAGTTTGTGCTCCCCCAGTAAATCCTATCTTCCCTAAACCAAGGACAAAGAGTAAATGGTTTGCACTTCTCCCCAGCCAGGGGGTAAATAGCCTTAAACAACCCTACTCAGGGAGACATAACAGAAATCCATTTAAGTGCCATTTGCCAATCACACCCAAATTAAGAGAATAAATCTGATTTGGGGACATCACTCAGGACCAGCTGCATTGACTAAGGACCCCCTGCCCTGACACTGGCCAATCAGTGGAGACCTCTACCCTGAAAGAGCACACCTGGGAAGCTGATGAATATTCTATTGAAACCCTCCCCTGAGACCTGCCTTAAGACTCCCGCCTGCAAGAGAGAGAGCAATACACTCAGGACACAGGACACAGTGAGCACTCTTCCCTAGGGGAGCACGCCTGTGCCATTCCCTTCCCCTTTCTTCCCTCTAAGGGGCCCCATGAGGCTTGCAACCAGGGGAGCAATGGACAGCAGCAGCTCATCCCAGGCTCACCCCCTGAGCCTGTCTGAGTCCCCCCTTTCTCTGACCTCCCAGTGAGCCAAAGCAGCCCAGCCCGGGCTCTCCTGTTGCTTCTTCTATGCCCTTCCCGTTTCTCTGTCCTAAGTATGTTTTTGCTGCGGCCAGTAAATTCTTGCTTGCTTTGCTGCACGTTGTCTCTTGATTGTCTTGGCTCAAGAAGACAAGAAGCGAGATTCCTCGTCTTGCCCAGTAACACTAGGACGGGACCTAGGATGACCCCCGCTTTCAGATGCGGGATGTGTGCTGAGGTCTCCATGCAGCTGTGGGCTTTGGTCTGGGATATGTCTGCTCAGAACCTGTGCTATTCCCACCCACCAGGACCAGGGGGTCGGAGAGGAGTTGGGGTGGCCCCTGGCTCCAGCCCAGCACTCGTTCTCTGCTGACCCGGCCCTTTCTTGGCTTAAAGAGAACCTGGCCGCATCTGATTTACTGATTGGTGGTGGTGTCCTGCTCCTGAGGTCAGCGTAGACTCCGCCCTCCCCTTGCTGGTGTTTGCTGGCCTCCCTGCTCTTCCCCCACTATAATAGGTGGAAGGAACAGTGTGGGTTTTAATTTATTGAGCACCTCTATAGCTTAGTATTATCTCCTCATATCTCCATCGTAACCCCACAAGATGGGTGTCACCCTAGTCAGTGACTTGCCCAAAGTCACACAGCGACTGGAGGGGGAGGGTTCGGCCTGAGGATTGTGTCTGGGCCTGGTGGGTGTGGCCTGGGGGTGACAAAGGGGGAGAGAAGGAGAAGGTCCCAGGGCTACCTTGCCCTTGGGGATCTTGGGCCACTCAGCCCTCCCCTCAACCACACAGGCCCCTTTCTGCTCTCCCGTGGGCCTGGACCACTTTTCCCAGCTCTTCTTAAACCTCCGCCAGGTCTCCGCACCCTCCCCTCAACCACACAGGCCCCTTTCTGCTCTCCCCTGGGCCTGGACCACTTTTCCCAGCTCTTAAACCTCTGCCAGGTCTCCGCTGAGCTCACCTCCTCAGGGGGGCCCTCCCTGACCACCCTGGCTCCACCCTTCCCCTTTCATACTCATTTTCAGGGCCCTTCTGTCATCAGAGTGTTTCTTTCTTGCCCGTGTCCCCCACTCGGCAAGAGTCAGCTGCGTGCAGCCAGCGCCTTGCTGTCTGGGTCACCGCTGTGTGTCCGGGGTCCGGAACAGCGTCAGAGATGTAGCAGGGGTTCAGGAACCTGGTAGGGGGAATGCGGGACCTGCCCTCGCAGCCCCCTTTCTGTGTCCTTCCTCCAGGCCTCCAGCCCCGCTCTCAGCTTCCACCACACCTCTTCCCAGTGAGAAAGGAAGAAGCCCCCTAACCCTCATAGCCAGGCCTTCCCGTTCTCCTGTTGGGCACTCACCACCTTCCAGAACACTGGCCTCAGGCAAGGTCACTCTGAGGCACAACAATTCTGGGTCATAGTTTCGTCTGAGCACAGATGAAAGCAGGGTCACCGTGCCACCCCCAGAGTACCAGGCATACCCCCTCTTGCCAAACGAGGGGCTGCTTCCCCCAGGTGTGCACTCTCCCTCCTGCATCGAATAGTAACTCCACTTGTCCACCTGCAGGTGCGTTCCCACTGGTCTCTGGCTGGGGACGTTGACACCAGAGGGAGAAGATACCTGGGTTTTTCTGGATTCGAATCCAGGTCTCCTGATCTTGATCTTGAACTAGCCATTTTCCTTTTAGGACCTAAGTTATCTTATTTCTATGAGGCCACTGGTGAGAGCCATTCGATGGGCCTATCCCTGACGGATGGGAGGCAGTATCCAGTCTAAGGAGCCTTGTGTGGGTTAGGTGCCTTTGTCATTGATGTCCCCATTTACAGACGAGGAAACTGAGGCCTGGAGGAGAAGTCCCATGGCTGAGGCTCCAGCTCTGGAATGACTGACTCTAAAGTGTTACCCACATGTCCTCCCACCTCATGACCCCCCACACACTTTTGGGGTGGTGGTCATAGTGGTCACTGATCAATGAGGTCACAGGTTCCAGACTGAATAGGGGCTCCAGAACAAGGAGTTCTTGAAACTCAGTGCCCAGGAACCAGACCCTGAACCCCCAAACCTGCCCTCCCTCTCTCTGTGAGCTGAGCTCAGGGCACTCTTCCAAGTTCCCGCCCACGTCTTGGGCTTTCCTGCTCTCGCTCCGTTCTGGTCATAGTGGTCACTGATCAATGAGGTCACAGGTTCCAGACTGAATAGGGGCTCCAGAACAAGGAGTTCTTGAAACTCAGTGCCCAGGAACCAGACCCTGAACCCCCAAACCTGCCCTCCCTCTCTCTGTGAGCTGAGCTCAGGGCACTCTTCCAAGTTCCCGCCCACGTCTTGGGCTTTCCTGCTCTCGCTCCATTCATTCTGTGTGCTGGGACTCAGCTCTGGGATGTCCGGCCTCTTCAGCTTAGAGGAGCGACTGGGTCTGTTCTGGGATCAAGTTTGCCGCATGGGGATACGCTCTCCATGTACAAACACTTACTTAGAAAAGCTTTGGCACCTCTGGACTTAAACTCCAACACGTGGGTTTGTATGATTACTCTCACTTCCTGGTGTAGAAACAGGCTCAGAGGAGGCAGCTCATGTGCCCAGGGACACACAGCAGGACTGGGACTTGAACTTGGATTTTGTACCCCAAGGCCTGTCTCGCCCCCCAGTTCTATAGTTGCTCTGGATTTCAGGGTTCCGGGCCAGCCCAGGCTCCCCTGTTGGAGTTTGGGTCTGTGGTCTCTGCTGACCTGCCACCTCTCTCCCCGCCCTCGCATCCAGGCTTCGGTGGAAACACGCCTCCTCCCTGAAGGTGGCCAACGAGCCCGTCTTGGCGTTCACCAAGGGCAGCCCCGAGCGAGATGCACTGCAGAAGGTAAGGTGCAGGGCGTGGAGAGAGACAGCCTCAGCAGCCCAGGTGCTTCTCTGTGCTGTGGCCATCACCCTCCTGCCCCCGCTCCCAGCCCCGGGTCTGGGGAGGCTGTGTGTCTGGAGCCTGGTGGAGGCTGGGAGCAGCCGGGGCCATTTGGTCCTCAGTGCCGGTCAGGAGTCATACGCTCACAGAACTTCAAAATGCTCTCCCATTAATTGCTAGTATTTTAAACCTGAGATTCCACAGAAAGTTGAGGTGCAGTTTTTGAATCTTTTTTTAATGGGAAAACCTATCAATACTGGCCTCTCGTTCCTGCATGACAGGAAGTGACCGGGGAGGGGCTGCATCCCGTCCCCCCAAGGAGCACACGCTCTCTGGCCACAGCCCCGCCGGCCGCCTCCTTGGTTCAGGTCCTCCGGGCATTGCATTAGCAGACTCCACATAGGGTTCTGGGTGGGAGAAGGGGAAGGAAGTGCCCATCTGACATCTTGTCCTCTCCTCAGGCTTTGAAGGACCTGAAGGGCCGGACCGAAGCCATCCCGTGCGTGGTGGGGGATGAGGAGGTGTGGACCTCAAACGTGCAGTACCAGGTGTCGGTGAGTCCAGTGGGCGGGCAGCCCTTGGAGAGGGGCAGTCAGTGTACAGGGCACCTCCCTCCTGGGCAGTGACCTCACTCCTCTCTTCTTTCAGCCCTTTAACCATGGACACAAGGTGGCCAAGTTTTGCTATGCAGACAAGGTGAGTCCCTGGCAACTTTGGGGTTGGGGTGCTGCCCCTCTTTTGTCCTGCTGGCTTCATTCTTGGAGGTGGACCTCAGGCACTGCTTCCTTCTGGCCATGGGGGGTGGGGGTGTAGATGGGACAGCTGGGAGTGGGAGTCCCTGGGTGGGTGCCTCTAATGGGGCCAGGCCAGCCAGGGTTAGCTGGAGCCTAGTGGGAGCTGCCTTGATTAGGGCTGGACACCCCTTGACATGCTGTTGCCATGGGGCAGACCCTGACGTGGGGCGAGTGGGGGTGGTGGATTCTGGAAGGCTGGGTCAGGGAAATTGGAGACATCGTGGATGGTAAGTCAGACGGCATTGGTATCATCATGGAGGGCCATCGAGAGGGGATGGGGTCACCTGGGCTGGGGGTCTAGGAGCGAGCATCCTGTGGCAGTGAGGGCAGGTGGCATTGGGGATGCCGGCAGCAGGTGTACGTCTCAGGCTGTGGCTCTGGCCTGGCCAGGGCAAGACCAAGGGCCCTGACCTTGAGGGCTGGTGGCTCTGGATGGTGGGTTCAGGGGCCCCGGGCCCCAGGCCCCAGGATTAAGGTGAGGCCCTGAGGAGGCCACAGCAGAACGTGGTTTAACAGCTGAGGGACTCAGTGCCAGGTGCCTGGCATGCGGACCCAGCTGGCAACTCAGACTTCTCCAGACTGGCAGCAGGACAGGCTCCGTGCCTGGGGTGGCCTGTGGCAGTGGGGGGCTCCAGCTCTGGAATGACTGACTCTAAAGTGTTACCCACATGTCCTCCCACCTCATGACCCCCCACACACTTTTGGGGTGGTGGTCATAGTGGTCACTGATCAATGAGGTCACAGGTTCCAGACTGAATAGGGGCTCCAGAACAAGGAGTTCTTGAAACTCAGTGCCCAGGAACCAGACCCTGAACCCCCAAACCTGCCCTCCCTCTCTCTGTGAGCTGAGCTCAGGGCACTCTTCCAAGTTCCCGCCCACGTCTTGGGCTTTCCTGCTCTCGCTCCATTCATTCTGTGTGCTGGGACTCAGCTCTGGGATGTCCGGCCTCTTCAGCTTAGAGGAGCGACTGGGTCTGTTCTGGGATCAAGTTTGCCGCGTGGGGACACGCTCTCCACGTACAAACACTTACTTAGAAATGCTTTGGCACCTCTGGACTTAAACTCCAACACGTGGGTTTGTATGATTACTCTCACTTCCTGGTGTAGAAACAGGCTCAGAGGAGGCAGCTCACGTGCCCAGGGACACACAGCAGGACTGGGACTTGAGCTTGGATTTTGTACCCCAAGGCCTGTCTCGCCCCCCAGTTCTATAGTTGCTCTGGATTTCAGGGTTCCGGGCCAGCCCAGGCTCCCCTGTTGGAGTTTGGGTCTGTGGTCTCTGCTGACCTGCCACCTCTCTCCCCGCCCTCGCATCCAGGCTTCGGTGGAAACACGCCTCCTCCCTGAAGGTGGCCAACGAGCCCGTCTTGGCGTTCACCAAGGGCAGCCCCGAGCGAGATGCACTGCAGAAGGTAAGGTGCAGGGCGTGGAGAGACAGCCTCAGCAACCCAGGGGCTTCTCTGTGCTGTGGCCATCACCCTCCTGCCCCCGCTCCCAGCCCCGGGTCTGGGGAGGCTGTGTGTCTGGAGCCTGGTGGAGGCTGGGAGCAGCCGGGGCCATTTGGTCCTCAGTGCCGGTCAGGAGTCATACGCTCACAGAACTTCAAAATGCTCTCCCATTAATTGCTAGTATTTTAAACCTGAGATTCCACAGAAAGTTGAGGTGCAGTTTTTGAATCTTTTTTTAATGGGAAAACCTATCAATACTGGCCTCTCGTTCCTGCATGACAGGAAGTGACCGGGGAGGGGCTGCATCCCGTCCCCCCAGGGAGCACACGCTCTCTGACCACAGCCCCGCCGGCCGCCTCCTTGGTTCTGGTCCTCCGGCCATTGCATTAGCAGACTCCACGCCAGGTTCTGGGTGGGAGAAGGGGGAGGAAGTGCCCATCTGACATCTTGTCCTCTCCTCAGGCTTTGAAGGACCTGAAGGGCCGGACCGAAGCCATCCCGTGCGTGGTGGGGGATGAGGAGGTGTGGACCTCAAACGTGCAGTACCAGGTGTCGGTGAGTCCAGTGGGCGGGCAGTCAGTGTACAGGGCACCTCCCTCCTGGGCAGTGACCTCACTCCTCTCTTCTTTCAGCCCTTTAACCATGGACACAAGGTGGCCAAGTTTTGCTATGCAGACAAGGTGAGTCCCTGGCAACTTTGGGGTTGGGGTGCTGCCCCTCTTTTGTCCTGCTGGCTTCATTCTTGGAGGTGGACCTCAGGCACTGCTTCCTTCTGGCCATGGGGGGTGGGGGTGTAGATGGGACAGCTGGGAGTGGGAGTCCCTGGGTGGGTGCCTCTAATGGGGCCAGGCCAGCCAGGGTTAGCTGGAGCCTAGTGGGAGCTGCCTTGATTAGGGCTGGACACCCCTTGACATGCTGTTGCCATGGGGCAGACCCTGACGTGGGGCGAGTGGGGGTGGTGGATTCTGGAAGGCTGGGTCAGGGAAATTGGAGACATCGTGGATGGTAAGTCAGACGGCATTGGTATCATCATGGAGGGCCATCGAGAGGGGATGGGGTCACCTGTGGCTGGGGGTCTAGGAGCGAGCATCCTGTGGCAGTGAGGGCAGGTGGCATTGGGGATGCCGGCAGCAGGTGTACGTCTCAGGCTGTGGCTCTGGCCTGGCCAGGACAAGACCAAGGGCCCTGACCTTGAGGGCTGGTGGCTCTGGATGGTGGGTTCAGGGGCCCCGGGCTCCAGGCCCCAGGATTAAGGTGAGGCCCTGAGGAGGCCACAGGAGAACGTGGTTTAACAGCTGAGGGACTCAGTGCCAGGTGCCTGGCATGCGGACCCAGCTGGCAACTCAGACTTCTCCAGACTGGCAGCAGGACAGGCTCCGTGCCTGGGGTGGCCTGTGGCAGTGGGGCACAGTAGACACTGGGGAGGGGACGCTGAGGGCCCAGGGAGCAGGGTCTTCCCCGGGTGGAGCGTGACCTCCAGACCTCTCCTCTCTCACTCATTCCCCTGGGACCCTTCCCGCTACAAAAGAAGCCCCCGGCCTTGCCCTCTTCCGCAGGCCCTGCTCAACAAAGCCATTGAGGCCGCCTTGGCCGCCAGGAAGGAGTGGGACCTGAAGCCTGTCACAGACCAGGCCCAGATCTTCCTGAAGGCAGCAGACATGCTGAGCGGGCCGCGCAGGGCAGAGGTCCTTGCCAAGACCATGGTGGGACAGGTGAGGCGCCTGCGGCACAGGTCGGGGGCGGGGGTGGGGGGCAGTTGTACCCTATTCGATTTGGCAGTCGTCAGCTGAGCAGTTTCTGGATGCCTAGACCTGCTCTGCTGGCTGGAGACTCAGAGATGTCCTCAAGGGACAAGGCCTAGGAGAGGGGACACACAGAATGTTAGACAAGGTGGACTGTGCTAAACCTGCGTGTCCGGCCACGGAAATGCCCCTTCCCCGCCTTCTCTGTCCCCACCCTAGCAGGCCTTTGTCGTGCTTTGCCTGGCGTGACAGTCGCCCTATCAGTCCTCTAGGCTCGGTGGGACCCTGCACCCTCAGGTTTTCCCGACACCCCAGCAGGCTGCTCAGGCTTACAAACCACCGAGGTCTACCAGCGAGAGGCACGTCCCAGATCCTGAGCCCAGTCCCCAGGGCCCTGCAGTTCCCACCTCTCTCCAGCTCGCCAGCTGCTGCCCTTCCCGCCAGGCTGTCCCCTGTGATGATGCCAGTCTGGACCTGGTGACATTCCTGGACACCATAGGCGTCCCATATCCCTGCCTCTGCCTGGTGTCTCCTGCCTGAGTGCTCTCTCTCTTCTGTGCCCGTGAACTCTTACCCATCAAGGGCCAGCCCAGATATCACCTCCACTGTGAGGCTTCCAGAACCTTCTCTGCCCAAAAGGATCAGCCTGCCCCCTAGCACGCTGTTCATTTGTCAGTTACAGCTCAGTTCGCATTGGGGTGGAATGACTTCCTATGTGTCTGTTGCCCCTTTACAAGCTTTTTGGGAACAGTAATCAAGTGTTAATGTTCTCCCACTTTTTGGGCCTTGCATCATGTCTTCCTGGATAAAGGTTTTTTGAGTGCATTTGAGCCAGAGAGTGGCTGAGGGGGGAGAAAGCGTTAATTTTGGTCAGCCCAGCGCTCCTCCTGCAGTGAGGGCTCCCCCTGCTGCACAGACGCAGTATGACAGCTCCACACGCTGCCAGGTGTCTCGATTGTCTCAGGGTGTCACACTCCTAGTGTCCCAGGTGAACCACACTTGGGCAGAAAGAGACACACAGATTAAAGTGCCTCTTTATGTGAAGACTCAGGAAGTTGTAAGAAGCACAGTGGCTGAGTAGCGCAGGGGGCAGTGTCTTCGCTCAGCTTCCTTGGTGCCATGTCCGAGCAGGGCGAGCAGCTGCCAGTGACCCTGTGTGCCAAGGTGGGAAAGGCCCATTTTTGCTGCCCACAGTCCTTTCCCCACGGCTCACATTCACCATCAGGAAGGACAGACAGTCTAAGGAAATGTTTGCAGTCACAGGCCGCCTGGTTCTAGGCCCAGCTCGCCTAGCGAGGGCACGTACTTACCCTGGGGCAGGAGTCACCGTGGGCACAGGGTCCACGTCAGGGCCAGCGGAGGCAGGTCTGCCACTGCTGACCCCCTGGCCTTCCCGCCTCGCAGGGTAAGACAGTGATCCAAGCGGAGATCGACGCGGCAGCCGAGCTGATCGACTTCTTCCGATTCAACGCCAAGTTTGCCGTGGAGCTGGAGGGGGAGCAGCCCATCAGGGTGCCGCCCAGCACCAACAGCGTGGTGTACCGGGGGCTGGAGGTACCACCGGTGCAGGGTGCGCGGGGGCTCCTGGAAACCTTGAGCTTGGCCTCACCACCTCCTCTGTCTCCAGGGCTTTGTGGCGGCCATCTCCCCTTTTAACTTCACTGCGATTGGCGGCAACCTGGCAGGGGCGCCGGCGTTGATGGTAAGCTATGGGCCGCGGGCAGGGGTGGCGGGAGCTCAGCATCATTCCCGTCTCAGCAGAGGGAAGGCCGCACTCGAGCCCCTGAGGTCCCAGCCCTAGTCATGGCGAAGCACAGAGGGTGGAGTGAGTGTGGGGCCGTGGAAAGGCTTTGGGGTCAGAGGCTGGTTTGGGTCCCGCCTTGCCCTGCTCTAGATGACCCCCGTTAAGCCTCCACTCTGCTCGGAGGCAATTTCCTCGTCTGCAAAGTGGAAGTAATAGGAAAGCCTGTGTACAGGGTTGTGAGGAGCAAATGAGACGGCCACATGACACGCCGAACGCCAGGCAGGTCTGGCCCTGTGCAGGCTAGTCTATGGTGACGGTTAGTGATGGTGATAGTTGTAGCTCACCTTTGAGTGCTTGCTATGTGCTGGTGACTTAGTTGTCCTGGTCGTATGGCTACTTGTTTTGTTTTTTTACCCTCACCCAAGGAAATTTTTTCCATTTGTTTTTTATAGAGAGTAGAAGGGAAGGAGGAGGGGGAGAGAGAGAGAAACATCGATGTGAGTGCGATACATTGATTGTTTGCTTCCCACATGTGCCCTGACCAGGGCCAGGGATTGAACCCGCAACCCTTTAGTCCACAGGCCAACACTCTAACCACTGAGCCAAACTCCACTTAGTTTTTTAAAAAGTGTTTTTATTGATTTTTAGAGAGAGAGGAAGGGAGAGGGATAGAGAGATAGAAACATCAATGAGAGAAACATTGTCGATCAGCTGCCTCCTGCATGCCCCCCTCTGGGGATTGAGCCCACAACCCAGGCATGTGCCCTGACTGGGAATCGAGCCGGCGACCTCGGTTCCCGGGTCAGTGCTCAACCACTGAGCCAAACCGGTCAGGGCTCCACTTAGTTTTATGAGCTTCCAGTCCAATGGGGCAGACGTGGCCCTGCCTTCGGTGGGCCTGGATGTCTGGGAGTCGCAGGAAGAGGGCTGACAGTGGTCGGCAACCCAGGCATGTGCCCTGACTGGGAATCGAGCCGGTGACCTCTTGGTTCCCGGGTCAGTGCTCAACCACTGAGCCACACGAGTCAGGGCTCCACTTAGTTTTAAAGGGTGAAGCTGACCATCATCCTCATGAGCTTCCAGTCCGATGGGGCAGACGTAGCCCTGCCTTCGGTGGGCCTGGGTGTCTGGGAGTCGCAGGAAGAGGGCTGACAGTGGTCAGGGGCCTGGGCCCAGGCAGGAAGGCTGGGTGAGCTGGAGGACGCTCATGCACAAGGCCGTCCCCGTGCCTCTGCCCACAGACAGACGCACACACGCCCAGATGCCCACGTGCCCTCCCCAGGACACGTGCAGAGAGAGCCTTGTGCGCACTTGCTCAGCCACACCTGTGAGCACCCAGCAACTCAGAAACACCCAAAACAGAGCTGCCCGAGGGTGCAGGCAGGGCCAGCCCGTGCAGGCTTCTGGAGGAAGGGCGCCTCGGCTGGTGTGGTGGTGTTGGCGAGGGCTGTTAGTGCACAGTGCCTGGCACCTGGAGGTGTGGTCGGGTAGGGGACATCCAGGCCTGCACAGGGAGGGATGACCATGCTTCAGGGGGGTGGGGTCAGGGCTGGGCCCCTGGCCTTCTGCCTTCTGTGTCATCATGTGCCTTCCGAGCAGGGCAATGTGGTCCTTTGGAAGCCCAGTGACACGGCCATGCTGGCCAGCTACGCCGTCTACCGCATCCTCCGCGAGGCTGGCCTGCCCCCCAACATTATCCAGTTTGTGCCAGCTGACGGGCCCACGTTTGGGGACACGATTACCAGCTCAGAGCACCTGTGTGGCATCAACTTCACAGGCAGCGTGCCGTAAGTTGGGGCGGGGGGGAGTTGGGGAGGCAGGGTGCTTCAGGGAGGTTCGCCTTGCACCTCTGTCCCGAGCTGGGCTGTGAGGAGCGAATGAGATGGCATGTGACACGGTCTGCCGCTGACCGGACTCACTTGCTGTGCTGCTGTTGGGATCCACTTCCCCTCTCTGAGCCTCCGTGTCTTCACGGTCCTAGTGATGGCTCTGCTGCTCCACACGCACGTCGCTCTACGTGGGACAGGACGACGGGGCCTGAACCCGGGTGGAGACCTGGGAATGAGCAGCGGGCAGATTCGATCGCCTGTCTGTGGGGTCGGGGTGGGAGTCAGCGGGAACGTCCAGGCTCGGGGCAGGAGGCCTCGTTCACAAGGTGACACCCGGCAGGCCCAGCAGCTGGAGGGTTGGGACAAAGATGACTCACCTGTTGGCTACTTTGAGTTTGGGGAGCCCACGGACCACTGGGTGGAGATGTCAGGGTCAGCACGGGGGTCCTCCCGGGTGTCACTGGGACCCCGGCGGTGGCTTCTCTCTGCTGGCCTCCGGCTCCCCCACCCGCTTCCCTCCGGGGTTTGTTGGGTGGCATGGCGTTAGAATTGCTGAGGAAGGCCGTTTCCAAAGGCCTGCTCTGCCAGCACAGCCCCGCGGGGCCCTGCCTGTTAGCGGGCGGAGCAGGCTTGGCCCCCATTTGCCATGCTCTGATGAGCAGAGGCTCAAAGGTGGGAAAGTCATAAATTAGTATTAGCTACTGTGTCGCCTGCTCCCTGGTGATTAGCATTTTTATTGTTTTGTGGTGCTGAGGTTGGTCACACTCGGAGCCCAGGGAGGAGGCGCCCAGGGAGGAGGTGGGGTCCTACGCTTCCTCTCCCAGGATCCTCCTCAGTTTGGCCTCTGGAGCCCCATGCAGATAGTGACAGTGTCTGCCCCCACCGGCACCTAGTGTGCCCGGCACTGTCCTAACACTGGACTCATTGCAGTGAACAGCCCTGCCATGGGATTGTTCCCTCCAGTTCCCAGATGAGGCGCAGGAGTTGAGGCTCAGAGAGGTTAAGTAATGAGCGGAAGGTCACACAGCCATGGGTGTCTGAGTCAGAGCTTGAACCCAGTACTTCTTCCCCGCTCCCTGGTCTTCTCTGCACCATCTTGCCACCAAGGCTCCCCTTGCTGCCTCCCCATAGGCCTGGGTGCTGCCCATTTCCAGCTGCCACCACCTACTGGGTCCCCCACCACCTCTGCTGGGACCCCTGCTCGCCTCCTGGGCTGCTGACCCTGGCGTTCCTCACTTGGCTTTTCGGCCGCTTCTGGTGGGACCTGTGCCCCACCCCCACGACCTTCACCCTCAGATACCCGAGCTGGCTCCCTAATCCCCATCCTGTCCTCTGATTTCAGCACCTTTAAAAACCTGTGGAAGCAGGTAGCCCAGAACCTGGATCGCTATCGAACCTTCCCACGCCTGGCCGGAGGTAAGGGCCCCTCTCCCTGCCCCCTCCCCGGTGGCTCCAGGGACTCCTTCCTTTCCTGGCCATCATGAAAGAGGAGGAGAGGATGCAGCCATAGGTAGGGTCGTGCTGCAGGAACTGAGCCCTGGGGGGCCTTAGGTACAGAACCCCACTTTGGCAGGCACTGGGGGTGTGCAGAGCACCTGTGCCTTAGGATGCATTTTTCTTTCATTCATTCATTCATTCATTCATTCATGCCTCATTCATTCAGCAATTTAAGTACCATGAGTAGGGAAGGAGCCTTGGCATTGACATGGGTGGACCCCCTCTCCTCTTGCTGGGTTGGGGGGATTAGGGGAAAGCTGTGCCACTTCTGGGAGGGGAGTGGGGGCCTAGGATTCTGCTATTTCCTCTGTCATTGTATTGGGCAGCACCCTGGCCCTGGCCTCAGTTATTTCATCTGTATAATGGGGGAGTTGTTCCTGATGACCCCTGATGCCCTTCACCTTTGGGCATCAGTTTTTTCATCTGTAGAGTGGGAAAATAGGCCTGGCTCATTGGTTTCTGGGATGCTGTCCAGCTCTCACTCTGTGCCTCTCCTGCTCTCATCCGCCTGGTATGGGGGGGCTGATCACAGGGCCCCATGGACAGGTGTAGGCAGTGTGGTGGGCCCCTGAGCTGGCCGGAGGAGCCTGCTCCTTCATTCGTTCCCCACCCCGGCCCCTGTAGAGTGCGGTGGGAAGAACTTCCACTTTGTGCACCGCTCCGCGGACGTGGACAGCGTGGTGAGCGGGACCCTGCGCTCGGCCTTCGAGTACAGTGGCCAGAAGTGCTCAGCCTGCTCCCGCCTCTACGTGCCTCACTCGCTGTGGCCTCAGATCAAACAGCGGCTGCTGGAGGAGCACAGCAGGATCAAAGTGGGCGACGTGAGTGCTGCCTCCATCCCTGCTCGGCCCAGCGGGCGGCTGATGGGATTGGAGGTTCCCGTGGGTGGGGCTGGTGTGCGGGAGGGGCCTTCCCTTGTCGGGCCATGGCAGCTCAGTCTCTTCTGGTGTCTCCCCTGCCTGCAGCCTGCAGAAGACTTCGGGACCTTCTTCTCTGCAGTGATTGATGCCAAGGTAAGGGCTGGAATCCAGTTGTTCCTGGGGGGCTGAGGCTGGACGGGGTGGGAGAGGGAGGAAGAGATATAGGGGGCCTCCATGGGGGACAGCCCCCTCCACTGCTTCCAGGAAGGCAGGCAGATTGCCACCCTGCCTCCAGTTTGGTAAAGGGCAGAATCCTCCAACCAGAGAACTCGCCTCCTGCACACCCTGCAGCCAAGTTCAGCAAGCCCCTTTAAGTGCATATTTATACACAGAGATGCAATTAGGCCTGCACACCTGTGTGCATAAACCTAATTGTGCACGCATGAACATGTTCATGTGTAGGCATGCGTGTCAGCTTTCCACAGAAATGCATATACATTCATACATGCATATCTCCATACAAGAACAAATCCACCCGTGTGTGCATGTAAAGATATTCACATACATGTTTGTGTTTAGAGGCACATGTGTAGGTCTACATGGATTAACATGTGCATGTTACAGGCATACATATAGGGGTGGGCAAAAGTAGGTTTATAGTTGTAAGTAATACAATAATAAATCGATAATACAAGAATAAACTGCAATTCACGTACTCACAATTGTAAACCTACTATTGCCCATTGTGTATATCTACATGCTTTAACAAAGCAACATGGCCATGCATATGCCCGAATACATATATGTCATGTGTGTTTGGTTATATTTATATGTGAATATATACCTGTAGTTCTAACACACACACACACAAGCATGCATGTCTGCCCTTGTCTCTGCCATGGCTCGTCCAGACACTCAGGGCCCTCCCCTCCTCCATTTCAGAATTCAGGTCCTTCTGGAACAGGTGTATTGGGGTGAGTGTACTGCAGGGCTGCTGCTGGGAATGGTCCCCTCGCTGGTCTTTGACACCCTTCCTCCCCGCCCCCCGCAGTCCTTTGGTCGCATCAAGAAGTGGCTGGATCACGCCCGCTCCTCGCCCAGCCTCACTGTCCTGGCGGGCGGCAAGTGGGACAACTCTGTGGGCTACTTCGTGGAGCCCTGCATTGTGGAGAGCAAGGACCCTCAGGAGCCCATCATGAAGGAGGTGACTGGCGGGTGGCTGGGAGCACGGGAGGACAGCCTCCCACTCAGCACCGGACACACACAGGGCCCTGGCCCGTGTCTTCTCCTCGGGGCGTATCCCAGTTCCAGTTGAGGAAAGGGAGGCCCTAGACAGCGAATATCACACCCACTGAGAGCAGAGCCGGGCCTTGAGCCAGGCCTCCTGACCCAAACCCAGTGCTGGCCCTGCCATCCTGGCCATTGTCGTAGCACTTCCATTGCTCACGCCCCCACAGCAGTCTTCTCAGCTGACACTGACCTGCTCACCTGTGGCCGGCCACAGCTGGCCCTTGATTGAAGTGAGGGCTGTATTATCAGTCCCATTTTACAGATGAGAAACTGAGGCCCCGGGAGATCAAGACACCTTGGTGGCAGCAGGAACAGTATATTGTTAGGCAGTTCCTGGACCAGCTGTTGCCAGAAGCCTACTGTTTCCATGGGCTTGGGCCTGTGCCTCTGCGGGTGTGGGTTTGGCTGGCAGGGGCCCAGAAAGTGTCCTTGGACCTTTTGTCATGGTGGGATGGGGCGGGCAGGGCAGGAGCTGGGCACGGTTCTGTCCCGGAGGGAATCCGAAGGGACACTGTGTACCTGTTGCCAGAAGCCTACTGTTTCCATGGGCTTGGGCCCGTGCCTCTACGGGTGTGGGTTTGGCTGGCAGGGACCCAGAAAGTGTCCTTGGACCTTTTGCCACGGTGGGATGGGGCGGGCAGGGCAGGAGCTGGGCACTGCGTATGCCAGGCCCTTCTTGCAGGGGCTGAGGTGTGGACTGGGGCCTGGGGACCGGGACTGAGAATAGAGGCAGAGGCCAGAGCAGGCTGGGAAGCCTCAGGGCGCTGGTCCAGGCTGATGCTGACCTTGGACTTCTCTCACTTCTCTCCCAGGAGATCTTCGGGCCTGTGCTGACCGTGTACGTATACCCAGACGACAAGTACAGGGAGACACTGCGGCTGGTGGACAGCACTACCAGCTACGGCCTCACGGGGGCAGTGTTCGCCCAGGATAAGTGAGTGGCCACAGCCCCTCTGCTCTAGGCCTGGTGTCCTATCCACACCCTGGACACTGCCCTCCTGCTTAGTACTAATGCCGCCCCTTGCTTTCTGTCCACTCCCCTCACCTCAGCCCTGGCTGGCAGGCAGGCCTCCCAAGTGCAGATACCCAGAGGCAGCTTGGCTCTTTGTTAAAGTGCAAGTTCTGGGGCCCCACTATCGAATCTGGATCTAGGGTGGGCCTGGGAGTGGGAGCTTCTGCCCAGCTCCCCGAGTCTGAGGGGGCCCTGCTCCTCCAGGTCATCGTCTCAGCTGCAGAGTGGGACACGGGCTCAGGCCAGGGTGCACTGCTCACCTTGCAGAGGCAGGATTTGAACCTTTGCTTTTCCCTCCTCCGTGGCTCCCCTTGTCTGCCACTAAGAGAGGGGATGGAGGTGGGAGTGGAACCTGAGGGGCAGGCTGGGGGCTTAGGGGTCCCCCAGTTCCCGAGGGGCAGGAAAATTGGACCAGGATGGGCCACTCCCTTGAGTGTGTGCTGCCTGACCCACACCCTCAGTCCTTGCAGGAGCCCCATGAGGGGGCGTGAAACCCCCTTTGCAGAGGGGAAGCTGAGGCTCAGACCCTGAGTCACCTGCCCAAGGGCCCACAGCTGGTGGCTGGCCCAGCACGGCCCCAGGCTGGGCCTAGTGCTCACGGGATAGCCAGCCTGGGCTGGGGCTGGAGGCTGGACCTGGGCTGGAACCGTGGGTGAGCTGGCTGCCCTGCCTTGTAGGGACGTTGTCCGGGAGGCCACCGAGATGCTGAGGAACGCTGCCGGCAACTTCTACATCAACGACAAGTCCACTGGCTCGGTGGTGGGCCAGCAGCCCTTTGGGGGGGCCCGAGCCTCTGGTGAGTGGGTCCTCGTTTCCAGAGGGGAGCCAAGTTCCTATGGGAGACTCAAGAGCCTTCATTCCAAGGGTGTTAAGAGTAATAAGAACAGCACTGTACTCACCCGAGTCCTTTCAGCAACCTCGTGAGCCAGGGTGCTAAATTCTCCCCATTTTACAGAGGAGGACACTGAGGCACGGGGTGGTGAAGTGACTTGCTCAAGGGCACATGGCTAGGAAGTGGTGGAGCTGGCACTGGACCCAGCTCCCGCAGCCTGTACCACCATGGCCCAGGTCACTTTGGTCCAACTCCCTCCTACTTATAGGGGGGGAACTGAGGCTCAGATTGGGCTGGTGACTTTCTCGGATCCCAGCTGCCTAGTGGCAGAGCTGGTGCTCTCCACAGTGCCCCCTCTGCCTCCGAGACACCCCGGGCAGGTGGGGCACATGGACCCCAGGAGTGCCGGCATCCTGTCTACTCCCAGTTCTGGCCCCACCCGGCCTCCCGCTAAGGGTGCTCCTCACAGGTGCGCTTAGGAAATGCCCCTGTGCGCACATTTTGTTTTAGTTTAAATGCTGGTGCCCCATTCATTCCGTCAGCTCCTCCCCATGCCTTTCCCTCCTGCCCAGAGCTGTTGCGTCTTTTCCCCACAGGAACCAATGACAAGCCCGGGGGGCCCCACTATATCCTGCGGTGGACGTCGCCCCAGGTCATCAAGGAGACCCACAAACCTCTGGGGGACTGGCGCTACTCGTACATGCAGTGAGCCCCTCGGCGCCTCCGCCGTCCACCTGTCTGTCCGTCCAGGTGACTGACCTCGGTGCACTGGGCCTACCCAGCCCCTCCACCCTGCTCCGGAGGGGCAGCCCCTTTTCTAGAGCCAAGGGCTGGCCCCGAGCCCCCCACTGGCCTGTCCCACATCTCGGGGTCAGGCGCCCAGCCCTGGTTTGATCCTGCTGGAAAGGGACAGGCGTGCTGCCCCTCATCCCATCGGCTGTCCTAGGAATTACATCTCAGAGGGTGACCTTGGTGCCGGCTGGCTCGCCATCTTTTCTCCTCTTGCTTTTGCATTGTGGCCCAGTGGTGTTGCAGGGGTGGGGAACATCTGGCCCGAGGGCCATATAAGGCCCACAAAATCGTTTGGTCTGGCCCTGCCAAGGCATTAGGAGTGAGTTAGTTAAATGTTTGACCAAATATAGCAGGCTGATTTTTAAGTTGATAATGTTGTCTGGCCCACGAATGATGTTATAAATATCCAAATGGCCCTGGGCAGAAAAAAGGCTCCCCACCCCTGGTTTAGGGACTTGGGGAATGACAGTGGGGCAGCTCCCAATCCCTTGGGGGAAAGGAGGCAGCTCTGGGCCCCTTGGCAACCTCATTTCCCACAGGGGCTCCTGGCCTTGGCCCTGGCGTCTCCAGGGCTGCAGGAGGGGGTGTGCCCAGGGCGGTCTGCAGGGTGCCAGGGCACTAGCTGACCTTGCCTTCTTTGGTCTGGGTCATCCTCCTTTCACACTAGCTCTTTGCCCAACCACAGGAGCCAGTGGGTACCCGTGCCTGACCTGAAGCCTTAGATGCCCATGTGCCTTTCTCCAGGGCTCCTGCCTGCCCGTGTGATTCCTGACCGTCTCCATGTGGTGAGGCTGGGGGGCTGCTGGAGGCCACCTGCCAAGATGTGGGACATGCTGGTCCTTCCTGTTGGGGCTGGGATTTTGGAAAGTGTGGATGGGCCCAGCCTCCAGGACGGCCACCCTCAGCTGCGTTGGCCTGGTTTCCCTGCGGGAGCTCAGTTCCTACTGGCTGTGGTAGCACAGGCCCAAGTAGATGTTGCTCCCACTATCCCAGCCCCCTGAGACCTACCCTAGGTCCCCGTCCTGCCAGGACCTGGGATTGCCCATAGAATCTTCTCTTTGCATGTGAGTGGCTCTGTGTGGACTGGCCCTCGGGGGGCCTGTTCTTTGCTTGATGCAGCCAATTGGTGGACTCTTACAACTAGGTTGGGTTCTGAGTGGCCAGGGATCTGTAAGGGGTGACTTTGGAGAGCAGTTTTTATGGGGCCGTAAAAGTGCTGGGCCCTCCTCAAGGACAGCTGTCAGGGGCTCCCCACAGGGTAGGGTGGCCATTGCCCAAGTGCCAGGACCTCACACTGGGCCAGCGGTCAGGGATGAGTGCTGATGCCGCCTGGCAGGGTGCGGGTTCTGCACTGTTTCCTACAAGGCACCAGGTCAGGAGGCTGGGTGGGTGGGGTGGAGATGTTCCTGGTTCTGCTGGCTCTACACTGTGAGGTGCCATGGGACTCGCCCTGACGTCACCCAATAAAATACCTGTGACTTAATCAAATCGGTCTTTCTGGTTGGGGTGGGGGACAGCTTCTAAGTCTGATGGCATTGCCAGCGTGTCATTGGGTGTGAGGAGCGCAGTGCCCTTGTGCTATGGAAGGAAGGGCAGGCACTGATGTATGGGAAAACCTGCTGCGGTGGTGGGAGCTCTGGAGCCAGATGGGCTGGGTTCAAATCCCAGCTCCAAAAAGCTGTGCAACCTCTCTGGCCTTCTGTCTCTTCACCTGTAAGATGGGAAAAGTAATATATGTGATATGTATACCCACACAGGTTGTCATGAGAATTAAATGAGTTAATCAATGTAAGTGTTTAGAACAACGCCAGACACAGAATTCATGGTTCGCCAATGTTGCCCATTTACCCATTGTTGTAACAGCCACTGTTACGTGCTGTGATAAGTTTACATGCCTGGATATTTTAGCTAAACGTTATTCTAGATGTTTCTGTGAAGGTGTTCTTGGATGAGATTAACATTTAAATCAGTGGACTTTGAGAAAGCAGATTACCCTCCATAATGTGGGTGGGCCTCATCCAATCAGTTGAAGGCCTTAACAGAAAAAGGCCGACCTCCCTTGAACAAGAAGGAATTCTGCCAGGAGACTGCCTGTGGCCTCAACCGCAGCTCCTCCTGGGTCTCCGGGCTGCCAGCCTACTGGCAGAATTTGGATTTCCTGACCCCACAATCTTGTGAGCCATTTCCTTACAATAAACCTGTCTCTCTGTGCGCCTCCGTTTGCTTCTGTTTATCTGGAGAACCCTGAGAATAACATGCCAGGGACTTTGTTTCTCCCGAGCGCCTGAGGAAGCAGGTGCTGCCATGCCCCGTTCTGCAGTGAGGACAGTGCAGAAAGCTAAGGGGACCTGCCAAGGGCGGGCATCACTGGAACAGAAACACAGGGCTGTCCAGTTCCGGAACCCGCTCTTTCCTCCACCCAGATGTTCATACACAGGCTGACTGCCTTGCAAAGACCCGCTCAGCTGCCAAATGACATGAGGGGAGCAACTGTGGCCACTTAGCTTGAGCCCAGTTTCTGGGTCCAAGCCCACCTGGGCCAGCTGACTTAGAGGGGGTCACGTGTGTCCTGGCCTGTCCCCACCCACAGGTGTATAGGGGTGTCACCTATGCCAGCTCCTGGCCGACAGGCTGACTCGGAGCTCCTGGGGGTCCAGAGGAAGCATTAGGGTACAGACCCGCCCTCTTGAGAGAGTCACGCCATTTCCATTCATTCCCCCACCACACTGACACCCCTACCCCAGGTCCAGCAATCTGGGCTGTTGGCATGGAGGATCTCAGAGCTCTGGGGCGGGGGGCAGGGGGTGGAGACTACCCTTGGCAGAGCCCCCACCCTGCTCACCCAGGGGCTACCACTGATTCGTGCAAGAGGGGGCTTGACCCGGACAAAGGGTAGCACCCAGTGCCCAGGCTGGAGTTTATGGAAGTTAAGGACGGCAACTGCATTTTGTAGTCCTTACTAATGTTTTTGCATGAATGGAGTGACTTGCTCAAGGTCACACTGAGACAGCAGCAGAGCTGGTTGACCACTGGCTAAGAGCATTAGCTACCTAATCTCATGAAGCCTTGACAGTGGCCTTGCTAGGTAAGGCACCCCGAGGTGTGAGAGTTACTTCAATCCTCTGTGCCTCAGTCTCCTCATCTGCAAAATGGGAGCCATAGAATGTACCTTTAGGGCTGCCGTGAGTATCTGAGGATGATGACGTCTAAAGCCTTGAGCACAGTGCCCTCGCCGGTTTGCTCAGTGGATAGAGCATTGGCCTATGGACTGAAGGGTCACAGATTCAATTCCAGTCAAGGGCATGTACCTTGGTTGTAGGCTCAATCCCCGGCCCTGGTTGGGGCACGTGTGAGAGGTAACCAATGGATGTGTCCCTCTCACATTGATGTTTCTCTCTCTCTTCCTCTCTCCCTTCCACTCTTTTAAAAAAAAAATTAATGGAAAAATATCCTTGGGTAAGGATTAACAACAACAAAAAAGTGTGCTAATCAGGGTGCATGGAAACAATGGATAGGGCTTAAGGCAAAGATAAAGCCTTGAGCGTGCACCAGTGGATCTATTTACTACACTGGCCCCCAGACGGACCACACAGGAACCGAGGATGGACGTGTGGTGGGGGAATGAATGGAAATGGTGTGACTCTGAAGAGGGTGGGTCTGCACCCTAATGCTTCCTCTGGACCCCCAGGAGCTCTGAGTCAGCCTGTCGGCCAGGAGCTGGCACAGGTGACCTTCATTTCCTTAGAGTTCATGCCTGACTGGCCGCCCCTGGGACCGCGGTGGCACGGACGTCCGGCCTCAGTCAAATGGTTCACGCTCCAAGCCCGGACCTGCGCTGGGCCCCAGTCACACGGAAATGAAGAGACTCCTTGGGCCGGCACGGACACGGGGACTTACTGTGGTGACCATGCAAAGAGGCCTTGGGCACCTGCTCGGGAACTGGGCTCTCAGGAGCCACCAGCCCCCTGGTCTGGGAGGCGAGGGAAGGCAGAGGAAACGGAGCAAGCAGTGGCTTGGAGCTACCGCCTGCCCTAGTTAAATGGAGGCGGAGGTGCCGGTGGGGAGGGCAGGGAATGACAGTGGTAGAGGAGCAGCTGGAAGTCAGGGACCTGGTGGAGCAGGTGGTAAGGAGCATGAGCTGTGAAATCCATAGACCTGGGTTCACCCCCGGCCCTCCTACTAACCAGCAGGATGACCTTGAGTAGTCGGTCCACCTCTGGCCTCCATTAGGCCTCCCACAGAAGGCATTAGGCTCCTGAGCCTTGGTTTCCTCATCTGTACAATGGGGGCAGAATCCTCCCCACAACTGTGCTGAGCAGACGTAATGCTGTTTGAAAGCATCGCAGAGGCTCCATGAAGGTGGCTTTCCTTCCCTTTGGCTCTTATTGGGCTTGTGGTCATTTGGAACCTCCAGATCCTTGAGGTCACCCAGCCGAGAGTGGTGAGGAGGCATAAGTGGGTCTCTGGGTTCAAGTGGAGTTTCTCCCACAGGCCTCAGCTGACCCTTAGATTCCCCGAGCTCCAGGGCCCACCCACTGTTAACTTCTAACCTCTCACAGGCTGGGCCCCCTGAGAAGTGGCTCTGAGGCCTCCCCGGTGACCCTCCTCTGAAGTGTCTGAACCAAGTCAGCTGGCTGGGGTGCGGGGGGGCCCATCTCCCAGACCTTTGGGGAGACCCTCCCTGCCACACCCTAAGCCAGATTGGAGCTGGGTTCCCAGCTGCCCGGCTTTGTCCTGGATGAGGGAGCACTGGAAGGAAAGAAACAGGTGAGTAGGGTGGGGAAGGGCTGATGCAGCCCCCAGTCCCTGCGGTTGGGCCCCTCTTGGGGGCTCCCCCTGTGCTCCATGGGAGGGAAGGAAGGAAATTGAGGGCAGCCTCCTCCAGCCCCACTTTTCCGTGAGCATCTCGGGGGAGCAGACACAAGGCAATGGGCAGCTTCTCCAGGGCCCCCCATTTCCACGGCTGCCCCCACCCCATGTACTTTGCATGAGCTTGTCATGGCTCTCCCTCACCTTGGCAACCAGTGGCCACACAGGTGTGTGCATAGGGACCTCAGGCCCTGAACTAGGCCATGAGGGTGACAGTTGTGTCGGGCCTGGGCCACCAGGGCATGTGCTGTGTGTGCAGCCCTGAAGGAGAGTCATGGTGACGCAGTGTCCCAGGCACCTGTCCTCAGGGCGGTCAGTGACTCAGCCACATCCAGTTGCCTCTCAGATGATGTCAAGGCCAGAGGACCGTAGAGACTCTATCGCCCGGCCCAGGGCGTCTGAGCGCGGGGGCTGCGGACAAGCCCAAGCCTGGCGGCGCCCTGGATTCTCAGCTGCATTTGCCAGGTGTGGCATTCGCGTCCAGGACTTTCATCGGAATCTCCCAAGGATCCCTGCCCTGCATGCGAGTCCAGTTTACAGGAGGGGAACGGAGGCAAGAGAATGGAAGGGGCCTGCCCAAGGGCAGCCTGCGCACTGACTGCCACCGAGCTGGACCGGAAGCCGAGACGTCTGACCTCTGTCCATGGCTCCTTCAGATTTGGGTCCTCAGGGGGCTCCTCCGTCCACACTGACAGCCACTCTGAAAAGCTCTCCCTGTCCAGGGGGCCCCGTGTTCCTTCCACGTGGGATCTGCTTGGTTGCCACCACTCCCATCAGCCCCGCTTTGAGCCTTGGATTCCTTCAATCCACTAACCTGCTCTGTGGCTTTGAATAAGTTACTGTCCCTCTCTGAATCTCAGTCTCCTCATCTGCTAAATGGGGAAACAGAAGAGGTAGTGAGAATAAAATGGGATGACAGAGCGTGGTGAGTGCTCAGCAGTGAGCCCTCGGAACACAGTTTCAATAGAAATGACCTGTGCTCCTGGTCACCGTCACTCCCCCCAGGCTGTGGCACTGGCCCTGACGCCCCCCCCCCCGCCCCCCACTACCCCCAACACATGCACAGAACTCCTTATCTCCTCTCTGCTGGCCGCACAGCCTGGGGCATCACGGAGCTGTCCTGACTCGCTTTACACTTGAATGGGGTTGAGGGCAAACCACCTTAGAGTTTGGCCGTGCGATTTGAATCTCCGCTCTGTGGTTTGTACAACCCAGGGAGAGTTTCTTAACCTCCCTGTGCCTCAGTTTCCTCATCTGTGAACCGGGGTTAGAAACACTTCCAGTTTTCGTGAGCATTGAGAGAGATGGAGACTGCCCGGGCCGGTGTGGCTCAACAGTTTAGCACCGACCTGTGAACCAGAAGGTCACGGTTCGATTGATTCCCGGTCAGGGTACATGCCCGGGTTACGGGCTCGATCCCCAGTGTGGGGTGTGCAGGAGGCAGCTGTTCAATGATTCTCATCGTTGATGTTTTTATCTCTCTCTCCCTCTCCCTTCCTCTCTGACATCAATTTAGAGAGAGAGGGAGAGAGAAAGAGAGAATGACAAGCACTCAGCACAGCACCTGGTTCTTATTGACAATGGCTACGGCTTTGGGGACACCTGCTATAGGCCAGATGCCATTTAATTACCACAGGCCAGGCCACCTCGGTCAGGCGCTGAGGTCGGGCTCCATCTCCCAACCTGCTCTGTCTCCTGGTTGGTCTCCTGTGTCCTTTACTGCCAGGTGTTTGAACATCAGGGGATGCGACCTATCCTCCGCCTCGAGGCAGAAGGCCAGGGCCCAGTTGGCAGGACATGCTCCCTCTACCTCCAAAGGTGGTTCTTCCCGACCACCCAGGCCCCGTGGTCCCTAACCAGCCTCCTCCCCTCCCCCGGAGCCCTCTGACCTCTCCACCTGTCCCCGGTGCCTTCCCCACCCCGGACAGTGGCAGGACTGTCACTATGTAAATGTCTGTGCAAATCCCTTGGAGTCAAGCGGCCAGCTCTCTGGTGAGGCAGAGCGACCTCTGGGGACCCCACTTCCCAGCCATGGGACCTCAGGCCGGGGTGGTCTGCTCCCTGTTCTTTCTGCTCCAGGTCCTGGCCGTGCCGGCTGAGAACCCGGACTTCAGCCTGGCAGGGGATTACCTCTTGGGCGGCCTCTTCACCCTCCATGCCAACGTGAAGGGCACCGTCCACCTCAACTTCCTGCAGGTGCCCAAGTGCAATGAGTGAGTCTCCGGTGGGAGGCTGGACGTGGCGGTGAGGGTGGGTGGGAGCCGGGGCTGGTCCTGTGGTCCTCGGGAGGCCAGGCTGAGATTGGGGGCTCAGAAAGCTCCTCCTCATTCATTGCCAAATCCCCATCCTGGATCCACCTCGCTGGCCCCCAGGGAGGCCACACACAGTCCATGGTTCTGAAATTTTGGCCATTGTGTTCTGAAACACTGAGATCTGGGTTGTCCCAATGCCATGTCTCTTACTATAGTTATAGGATGTTTCAGATCATAAGGCCATGTCTCAGAGACCACCAAAACCACCCCATCCCCTCTGGCAATTAGGGGACTCCCAGGGAGTCCACTCCGAGGCCCCGTCGAGACACTAGGTGTCCTAACTTTGGAGGCAGACTGTGGCTCTTGTACAGCAGCTTCTCAGCTGGAGGGGACAGTTTGCCTGTGCCCAGGGCTGTGGTGAGGTGGGCAGGGGCGCTGCCAGGACTGGAGGGGACTTTCTGCACCCACCCTGTGAACCCCTGGGGGTGGTAGCCTCGCTCAGAGATTGGGTGGGCCATCTCCTGGAGCCAGCCTGGGATTATACAATAGTGACCTTGTGCAGAGAGGGTAAAGGCATTCTGGGAGAGAGGGAGAGAGGAAGGAGAGTGCAAAAGTTGACTGAGCATTGACTTCTGTGATGTTGGGGAAGATTAGATGCTGGCTTGAGAATGGTGAGGGTGATGGCACAGGGATGGTACGAAACATGACGTTAGATGTTCTGGCACCTGTGATAATGGTAGGGAGTCCAGTGAAGTGATGGCAGTCATGGAAGTGATGATGGTGATGTTTATAATGGTGATGGCTGGTGATAATAAAAAAAGGTGAAGAGTATGGTGATGATGGCAGTGGTGATGGTGATCGGTGGTAGGGATGATAGTGGTGATAGTGATGATGCTGATGGTGTTGGTGGTGGTGATGGTGGTGTGTTGATGGTGATGGTGAGGATGGTGATGATGGTGGTAGTGATGATAGTGGTGATGGTGATAATGATGATGCTGATGGTGGTACTGGTGGTGGTGGTGGTGATGGTGTGAAGATGGTGATAATGGTGGTGGTGAGGATGGTGGTAGAGATGATAGTGGTGATGGTGATAATGATGCTGCTGATGGTGGTGGTGGTGATGCTGATGATGGTGGTGGTGATGATAGTATTAGTAATGGTGATCACAGACATGTGGTGGTAGTGGCAATGATATTGGTAACATGGATAGTAGCTGATGATGGTGACAGTGGTGTTAGTGATGATGGATGTTCTGGCACCTGTGATAATGGTAGGGAGTCCAGTGAAGTGATGGCAGTCATGGAAGTGATGATGGTGATGTTTATAATGGTGATGGCTGGTGATAATAAAAAAAAGTGAAGAGTATGGTGATGATGGTGGTGGTGATGGTGATTGGTGGTAGGGACAATAGTGGTGATAGTGATGATGCTGATGTGTTGGTGGTGATGGTGGTGTGTTGATGGTGATGGTAAGGATGGTGGTGATGATAGTAGTAATGACAGTGATGATAGTGATAATGATGCTGATGGTGTTGGTGGCGATGGTGGTGTGTTGATGGTGATGGTGAGGATGATGGTGATGATGGTGGTAGTGATGGTAAGGGTGGTAATAATGGTGGTGGTGAGGATGGTGGTAGAGATGATAGTGGTGATGGTGATAGTGATGCTGCTGATGGTGGTGGTGGTGATGCTGATGCTGGTGGCATATTGATGGTGATGATGATGGTGGTGGTGATGATAGTATTAGTAATGGTGATCACAGACATGTGGTGGCAGTGGCAATGATATTGGTAACATGGATAGTAGGTGATGATGGTGACAGTGGTGTTAGTGATGATGAAGATTATAGTGGGTAATGCTGGCCACACTGGTGGACACTGGTAGAATGGTGACAGAGTCCAGAGCGATGGTGGTAAGAGTGGCAATGGCAGTGATTGATGGTGGCTACAGAGATAGAATGTCAGAGGTGGTCATAGGGATGATGATGATCTTAGAGATGCGGTACAGAGTCACTGAGGTGGTAAAAATGCCGGAACCTTCTGGAGTCTCTCTTTCTTGGGCAAGGCCTGCTTGGCTTTCCTTTGGCGTGTAGGACCAGCAGGCTGGCTCCCCTGCCCACCCCGCTCATTCCGGACCTGCCTCCCACCCCACTGCGGCCCTCCAGGTACGAGGTGAAGGCGCTGGGCTACAAGCTCATGCAGGCCATGCACTTTGCGGTGGAGGAGGTCAACAACCACAGCAGCCTGCTGCCTGGCGTGCGGCTGGGCTACGAGATGGTGGACATCTGCTACGTCTCCAACAACATCCAGCCCGTGCTCTACTTCCTGGCGCAGGAGGACTATTTCCTGCCCATCCAGGAGGACTACAGCCACTACGTGCCCCGCGTCGTGGCCGTCATTGGCCCTGAAAACTCTGAGGCTACCATGACTGTGGCCCACTTCCTCTCCCTCTTTCTCCTTCCACAGGTGAGATCCTGGGCCCTGGGAGCAGGGGCTGGGAGGGGACAGAGGTGTGGTTGTCCAGAGGGCTCCCTCCCCCCTGCCCCCAGTCATCGGGTGGAAGTGAGTGGAGAGAGCAGAAGCAGGACATCAACCCCAATCCTCGGCAAGCAGCCTGGCCTATTGGTTGAGAGCTCAGGCTTTGGAGGCAGACACCTGGGTGTGTGTCTTGGCTCTGAGTCGTGCCCATTGAGCCAATCTCTTAAGTCTTCTGAGCCTCAGTTTCCCCAGCTGCAAAGTGAGAGGATAGGAGTTCTATCTCAGGACTGTCTGATGATTAAAGCATTTAACCTATGCAAGAGTTATTAGCACACAGTAGGTGGTCAATAATGTTCCTGTTGTTATGTAGAGCAGCGGTTGCCAACGGTGTGGTCCCTGCTGTCCGAAAGTTGGCGACCGCTGATGTAGAGCATCTTGCACAAGAATGGAAACTCAGAAAATGCTCAATGTTATCCTGTGTAGTTGCCTAGCACAGAGCCTGCCACATAGTAGGTCTTCAAGAAAGTGCTATTGGCATTACTACTATTATCACTGTTATCATCACCATGATTGAAAGTGCCTAGTCCAGAACTGGCATAAAATATCTATTCATTAAAAAGTAGCTAGCACTGGACTTGGCACACAGTAGGTAGTTACAGATTCTGTAATTTTTGCTGTTTTAGATAGAGAGAGGAAGGGGGAGAGAGAGAGAAACATCGATTTGTTCCACTTATTGATGCATTCGTTGGTTGTTTCTTGTATGTGCCCTGATCCTAGGTCAAACCTGCAACCTTGGTGTATCAGATCGACACTCTAACCGAGCTACCCTGCTAGGGCCTTTGCTGTTGTTTTTATTCTGTAAAGCATCTAGCACAGGGTCTGACACATAGTAGGTGCTCAGTAAGTGTTCGTATTCTTATGTGAAACATCTACTCCAGTATACTGAACTCATTCTTTCATTCATTTAACAAATATTTGCTGAGCACCTACTATGCCAGGTACTATTGTAGGCTCTGAGGATACAGATGGGAACTTAGAGCTTATCTTCTAGTGGGGAGAGACAGACAGTAAACGTCAATAACTAAGTGGTTTAGGATGATAGAGGTTGAGAAGTGCAATGGACAAAAGGAAAAGACCCCTAGGGTATGGGAGCTGGGACGTGTCATGGACTGGCGGAAGTGGGTAGAGGTGGACTGCAGGTTTAAACGGCCCCCTCCCCTTGGGCAGATCACCTTCAGCGCCATCAGCGACGACCTGCGCGACAAGCAGCGCTTCCCGGCGGTGCTGCGCACGGTGCCAGGCGCCGACCACCACCTCGAGGCCATGGTGCAGCTGATGCTCCGCTTCCGCTGGAACTGGATTGTTGTGCTGGTGAGCGGCGACGACTACGGCCGCCGGAACAGCCAG